AGGTCATCTACCACAGTCTTCAAGATGTTGTTCCGACAGCGTCGTACCCGATTCAACAGAGATCTTGTTTTAATAATAGCCCAGAAATCATTTGTACGGGCTTGGGCGAACATCTCCGAAGCACCGCAGAAACGAGGCAGTCCCAAGAGCATCCTAAAAGCATTATTGTATTGAACACGCATGGCAGTTAGCGACCCGACAGTATAGTTGACCCATAGACAACTCGTGTAAAAGTTTTAACAAAACGCCTTCAGGCTTCACTTGATTACTACAACGAGCAAATCTACGAGCCAACATATTACCTCTGGCCGCCACTGCCCTGCGTTCCCGTTCAATATCGATGTTATCTTTTAGGTTTTCAGATAGCATATGCCCGAGATATTTAAGTTCCTTTACTCTCTCGATGCCTATTTAGAGAAATATTATGAAACATCTCCAAGCATATACCATCTCCCCCAAAGACCATGCATTTACATTTATTTACATTGTAAAGGCCATGCTTATAAGCGTATACATCACACACACGCAGCATTTCTGTAATCGCCCCTGCTATCGAAGCCAGCAGCACCATATCATCAGTATAGCTAAGGTTGTTTATGCTTACTCCATTAACTCTACAACCTACACACATGCTGCTAAGTTCTACGATCAGGTCGTTAATGTACAGATTAAATCATTTAAGTCATGACAGGCCACCCTGTCTTTCACCACTCTCCGACCTATACGATGTAGAGAAAGCGTTAGACCACTTCACAGTGTTGTTCTGGTTGGCATACCAAAATTTAAATATATTTAACAAGACATTTGAATTTTAACATATAATCATATTATTATAACAGATTTTCATAAACATACTAACAAAATACACTCTAAGTTGAAAACCGCTTAATATTCATGATTTTGAATGAATGCTCTTCGGCCGTGTAGTAGGCTTCATTGAAATTAATCGTCAAATACAAACTGTAGCGAGTATGTCGCACAAGCATTGTGGACGAATGTACGAATCTTGGTTATTATAAAATGCAGACTAAAGTTAGAACGGTATTTGTTACCATGGCTATCATTCTTGTATGTCTGGAAATAACATCGTAGCGATGATAATAAACACGGTACTTATTTTATTTATTAATATAATTTTTAGTATAGTTTGTACTGTATTGTTACGAAGACAGGTTGAATAAAATGTTTCTCGATGTTCATAAAAGTTAGAGACGTTTTTAGTAAGCTGAAATGTGATTTACGACCGACCCAAAGAGGCTCCATCACATACAAGAAAAATGGAATTTACATAAAGTTTTCTCCTTTTGGAGGCTAAAATATTTTTAAGGCTGTTTCAGAGCAAGTGTAGTCAAATGAAACAGGTTACAGGAAACCCATTTCCAGGCGTTTTCAGATTTGGTTATACCCCTTTGATGAAGGAATATAGAGATATCTTTCTGGGTGTGAGATAAGGATGGAATGATACGCGAAAGAAAGGGATTAGAACCTTCTCGAAGCCTAAATCTTTCTAGAATGGCTTTCGATGTGCAAACGAAATAAAGAGTCCGTACGTTCTAGAATTGTTTTATTGTTTCGTTAAGGATAGAACGCTAACTACTAAGTACCTACCACTCCTGCCTAGAAAGTCGGTCACGATAATTCCCAGGGAATATATAAGCAGACCAAAAAGCGACCAGTTAATTCAGTTTTGAGTGCGATTCCGAGTGATAAACAGCGATGAGTTAAAAGTGCGAATATTGTGACAAGTGATTGTGTATTTGTTAGTGTAAATTTAAAAAATATTATTTTTTATAAAATATATTTATTTTTAATGTTCAAATAAACTCTTATTAAATTAAAAAGATTTACGGCCTTTTCTATCCGATTCCCAGCTCGTAACAATATCTAAGAGTTCGCCCACGTAAATATATATTACAATTAACAAAACCGTATATTAATTTTGCATGAATAATTTTGATAATGTAGAATTAAAATAGCTGTATAATTAATATACTAGCCGTTCAGTCTCGACTTCGCACGACTGGTTATTTATTTAAATATATAATCGTTAGATACATGCTATCACGGACTTTTTTGTAGATATTGATTTCATCTATAAACCTGTGAGCAAAGTGATGTACCTAATATCACTTTGCTCTATTGTCCACACTTGTTTCCACAGCGTATATAGGGATTGCGTAGCGCTATATAGGGCTTTTATTGGTATTTTTTTATTTTACGAAAATATTCAACAGCCAATGTTCATGAGAGATAAGTTTCTAATTGCGGAAGTATTTTTCAAATCGGTTTATTAGTTTTGCCTATTCAATGCAAAAACATCAACAATTAATCTTTTTTCTTTATAATATTAGTGTGTGGACAAAAATAATATTGTAACTTGTAAAACATACATAACTTAATATTGTCTTTGATTTACTTGTTATTCATTAAAAAACACTATATTGACCGGAATGAGTTATGTATTATTATAAATTTACAACTACGGTGACTCCGTGACCAAGGAACGCGAAAAAGCACCCGAAACGCGATACTTTTTAAAATTATGTTAAATGGTTGTAAATTTATAATAATACATAACTTCAATCCGGTCAAAATAGTGTTTTATTATGATAAAAGTAAAATGTAAAGCACGCAAAGAAAAGTGTTTTGTTAAATACATTTACACGCCTGCCGATTCTTTTTGTTCTACGAATAAATGTCATAGCCCAACAAGGCTTTGCATAAAAATAGTGACCCAATTTTAACATTTTGTTGTAGCCTAACCACGTTGGCCACGTTTTTCTACGAACACTTTGCACATTACTTTTTGTGTAAAGTAAAAAAGAAATTTTCCTTTAAATTTAACATACCTCACTTATTATAATAAAAATAATAATTAAAAATTTATAAATAGAAAATTAATATATTTAATAAGTTTGGTCCCTGTGGCAGTGTACCTTTAATGCTAGCATCATTTCCTGGCTGTATTGCGATACTTATTAGTTGAGCGAAGAAAGCAGCACTTATTATTATATCATGCAACATAAATGATTTATGTATATGGTTTTGTTGGCACAGTTTGCAAATGAATAATTGCAACCCTTTCTACTAAAAATCTTCTTTTAGTCCCTCCCTATTACCGGAAGTTAGCCGTCAGTCTCTAGAAGCTTGTCTTGTTCTGTACCAGATGCAGCAAGTCTTCTACAGCCGCAATACCCGTCCAGTGTGGACGTAACCCTAACATTGTGAAGCCATGATTTTTTCTATCTACTAATACGCCGTTTACCCTGGGTTTTCCCGTTACAATTAAATGAAGGAGGTGGTAGTTGGTGGCCCAGGTACGCAACTTTCCGTTGTTTAATGTTCTTCGGAAACCGATTACCTACACTTATTAGGCATATGGTTAATGGTCGTCTAAATAATGTTTTGCGCCTCTACAAATACAAAGGGCACGAGTCTAAATAAAACACATAATACCTGAATGTTATTTATTGTTTTGTCCTTTTTTGTAGTTTCCATAGATGGGACATACATGGATTATCTTTTCCTTCGTCTACTTACATTACAAGTTTATAAGAAATCACAATGTTTAGCCGCGACCCGCTCCCCGCGCACCTCGCAGCAGATCAGTCGAGTTATAATTTAAATACGCAATGCGATTTAGGAAATTAAACAATATGTAACAAAAAATATTTAATGGCAGTGATGTGTTGTTGCATGTTATAAATAACAAGAGTCAGTGAAATAATATGAGGGTAGGCACAGTTTACGACATCGCGTGTCGCGGGGACGGACGCACACACACACGCGCTCGCACGCACACTCGCACACCGACGGCCTCGGCCAACCTAACTACAACTGAAAAAATCTCTATCGTACTTATATCTAACCTGTATAATTACAAATGCACAGTATGTTTACATAATAACCATACACTTTTACAATATGTATATAATTTACTCGATATTCGTTAACCGTTATATACCACAATATACACTATATACGAGTGAGGCTCGCGCCGCGGCGTCTTTAATACAAAAAAATGCGCTATTTACAGGTAACGAGAAATAAAAAGCTACGCGTTTACTAAGATAGAGCCGCGGCGCATGCGCAGCCGGCGACGGAGGCCGAGAGGACTCTGCTGACGTCACACTACTCGGCCTACTATTATGGACGACAGTTGCGAATGTGCTCGGGATGGAAGACATGTTTCCAACGGTTGCCGCTGCCTAGAGCGAGACTACGCGCCGACTGCGGCCGTATAACATACCAATATACAATCTATTAATATACAGCTTCGCGGTGAATACGTGAAAAATAAAATATAAATTCCTATCACAATGCTCATAAGCGCATTCGCGTTGCATTTTATCACTAAGCGCAGATTCCTCGTGATCGCTCGCTTTCGGTACTCGTTATGTTCTAAAGTCTTAAGTAGGAAAGCGGCCCAGAAGTGTCCCACTCGTCTCGCCCTATCCACCCAAGCGCTACTCTACGGAACATTATATCACTTCATCTATAGTCTTATAGTAGAAATTCGTTGAGATACATAATCATAAACCGATTGCAATAGATTTCTTGCACGCTTCGCTCGTCCTCGCCTCAGTAATAAATATCGCCTTTAAACGGGCCACAGACTACATATTTACAGTCAGGTCGATCCATGCTTAACGTAATATAAAATAACAAAGAGCTTACGAAGTAATTAAATTTAATAATTTACAAATTGTCTCTATCACGGTACGTCGGGGCCGCTCCCGTGCAAGAAACCTACTCGGGCGCCCTCAGTCGCTCGAGAAACGGATCACGCTCGCGCGAGCGACGCCCGTCTCTTTGACGTCCGAATCGCTGCTTTCTCCTTTGCCCTCACGAGTCGCGAGGGCCGTCTCGATTCTATTTGGGACACGTCGAAGACGCTCCTCGAAAACGGAGCGCTTCCCGTAATCAGTAAAGTAGCGGAGAGAGCTCCGCAGACGACGCTAGGAGGCGGCGCGGGCGGCGGCGGCGGCGCGCGGCGGTCGTCAGTCCTCGTCGGAGAGGGGCTCGTACTGCGCCGACATCAGGGGCGCGGGCTCCGGAGGGGCGGGGCCCGCGGGAGGGGGCGCACTCGACACCACGCCTGGACCCCCGCTCGCTGCAGAGAAATGAGATACATCAGGGACGGGCGAATGTAATTTATTCATAAAAACTAAATTTTAGCAAATTTATAATATTTGTACAGCAATGAAGTTTTCATATAGACTTACGGTCAGCGGGCGTGGCGACGTTGAGCGCGGAGTAAGGGTAGGTGTAAGGCGTGTTGAAGGGTAACTTGGTTTCGGCAGTGAAGGGCAGCTTGGCCTCGGAGTCGTTTCTCATGACGTCAACGATACGCGCCGTTACATAGTCATACGCCGTCAAAACACCGCAACGCACGCCGCTTACCCCGCTCACCCCACTCACGCCACTCACTCCGCTCACGCTACTCGCGCCACTCGTGTAACGGTTATCACTGCGGCTGAACAAAAATTCATATTAATAACTATTTTATTGATTTATACGTAATTACATTAAAATTAAAACGAATAACATAAGTTATGAGGGATGCAAGGGGCAGCCTAAAAAAAAATATTAAGGTTTACTTTAATACTTTTTAGTTTAGTTACTTGCAAGGATAACCAAATCAACAAAATAAAATTACAAGTAACACTGAAAAATTATCACTTATAATACCACAAGAGCTTGGAAATGCCAGATAATTTTGAAGCTCGTGTGGTATTCGGGGGATTATTTTTCCGACCCAAATGTCGGCCAATAGAATTGCACCATGAGACGAAATGTACAGTTAACAAATAAGAATTTCATAATGAATAAAACAACTACTTAATACTTTTCTTGAAGCAACTACCAGAGAAAATTTTCAAAAAATTATCAGTATAATACCATGTAGGTTGTACCACGTGACGTCGAATGGTGCAATTCTATTGGTCGATATTTGGGGTCGGAAAAATAATCCATAAAAACTAAAAGCTAAACTAAAGGTTCTTGAATTAAAAATGCAATACAAAAGCATAAGAAAATACATGAATTACATAAAAAAGAGATAGAGAGTCTTTTAAAAGAGAATAGAGAGGAAGCCAATCGTCAGTCGGGGAGCGTATTCCACAATTTAATGGCGGAGATCGTAACGAAATGCCTGAGATGGAATTTCCATAAAGCATCTTTAACAACACCATTTACTCGCTAAAAATATATCACATTATTTGTAGTGCATATCATTATTTGTGTATATCGTATTCTGAAGTCTAACCTGGTGGGTTGATTATCCGTCGGTGAGACGGGTTCGAAGTAAGAATGTCCACTGGTGGCCGGACCTGCTCCGCTCCCGCTTCCGCTTCCGCTCGAAACGCTCGCTCCACCGCCGCCCTGATAAGGTTCCGCGTTGGAAACTAACCGGTTGCTAAACAAATAAATATTTCTTCGTTAAAAAAATATAAATAAAACTATAGGTATAATACCTATATATAATATGTATATAATATTATGTAATCGATCTTTGGAAATACATTTAGTTTAATTGTTTTTTGTTATATATTATTTAAGTTAGCTGTAGGAGTCCGAAATAATTAAATAAACAAATTATTAATAAATAAATAAATAAATTAACACTATTGAAATTTAAATCGTATCTAATATCCGAAATATTTAATTTATTTGTGGTTATTTGGAAACAATTTCAGTGGTTTTTAACATTTTTTTTAGTGTTCTAAGAGATTTGGAGATTAGCTTGGTGCCGGGGTGGGAGAAAAGATTCAATGTTGCTTATTAACCGCAAGCTGTATCAGCCTGTAATTGGGTCTGGCTATATTATATTTATATATTTTAGAAAAGATAGCTTACTCCTCCCCCCTATTACGTAATACTTGAACGGCCCCTTAGTAGTATTTTGGTTTTTTCTGTACTTTTAGTTTACATATATATTAAGTATTAAGTATTTTTAAATGGCTACAATATATGGAAACTCACTTATGATGCATCAGTGTGGTGGGGTTTGGACTGCTGAAGTCGCGGACGATTATATTTGAGGCCAGATCTCCCAGTTTAATGCTCGTAGTATGGGCAGCGCTGACTGGCGGTTCATCGCGCCGTTCGGGGCCCCGCTCTTGACCCACGACGACCCGTTCCCCGGGGCCAGGGACACGTTCTCCCTGAGGTCCAGAATCATTTTCACGGATCAAAGTCTGAAACCAACGACAATAAGGTATGAGACATTGTTAGGCGTATTCAGTATGGTTTATGTTTAACTTCGATTTTCATAAATATTTGAAGTTCAACATATATCTGATGTATGTATGTATGTAATATATTTATTCAGAAAAAGTTACACTTTCATTCAAACTATGCCCCGCAAAATTGCTTACGCAGTTTGACTGCAGGTAAATCTGCAGAAAATATTTAAACATAGCTTATGCAGCTTATATTGCTTTATATTATATTGAGGGTCTGTTCCACAATGAATGGATAAAGTACCAAAAAGCTACGCAACTCATAAATTATTTAGAAGATAAATTATTGTGCTTGTCACTTCATCGGACTCATAACTTATGATGGACTTTATGTGACGAATAGCGCTATCTGACAGTTGTGAAACGCAATAGTGTTTATCCTACCAATAAGCTAACTTCGAACTTATGTAGAACTTATCCGTACATAATGAAACAGACCCTTAATATGGTTACATTTATACAATAAATTTACGTAAATGTACTACAACGTATTTGACAAGTGTTTTTTTTTAATAAACTTTTAAATTTACCTCATTAGCAGGTTATAACTCACCGGGAACCTCTGATCCGTAGTCTGGCTAATCTGATGGGTAATGATGGCGTTGATGAGAGAAGCCGCTGTCAGGGTGCCGTCCGTGCCTCGCGCCCTGTCCCCCGCGGCCGGGGCCCCCGGGGCAGGGGCTGATAGCGCCGGGGGCCCGCTCGAACTGCTCACCGTGGACGGGCAACTCACTGCAGGACCGCGGCTGGAACCACGAAACGAAACGTAACCTAACAATTTAGGACGTATTTACTGCCTAATTGGTTGCATGTCTGCAGATGACAAAGTCTCAGGTTCGATTCCTCGATGTTGCCGAAAAAAATATTTTGTATTGTTGTGTGGCGGAAAAAAAACCTTTGACCAGATCGGACCACACTCGTCATTCAAAGGTTTATTACCTTGTTTAAATATAAGGCATTTAAGATTTTTTTTATCTTCACAACATAGTCCGATATGTTATTTTAATATCAAAAGATATTGCGGTCGTATCAGACATTTGTTCCTACATAGTATGAGTATGAGAGTTATGAAACTATATGGACAACCATGCGTACATGGTAAGTCTCAATATTAGCCACCGCGGCGTTTGGAGAAAATCATTGCTGAATGTACACTTATGAACGTCAAAAAGAAAATATAAGAAATGCTTCTAATTTTCATTTACTGCCAGTTCTCAAATGAAGGGCGTAGAACGGAAGAGAAGAACTGGCAATAAACTCTCCACCACTCTTTTTAAGAAGAAGAAATAGATATATGTCACTCACGCATCCTTCCTTTCGAGTGCGTGCGGTCGCGGTTTTCCAGCGATACTGTAGGCTGCGTTGTTATTGAACCGCTTGTCTTCCTGGCTCGATACAACCTGCTGATAAAGGGCGTCTTTAAGTATGTGACATCGACATAGACAAGCAAAGAAACTCATACATATACCCATATATAATATATAATAATATAATGATTAGTGGCGCTACAACTTTTTTAGGTCTGGGCTCCAGATTTCTCTTTGTTTCATGATCATTTGTCAATCTAATAAGCAAGTAGGTGATCAGCATCCAGTGCCTAAGACACGCCTTCGAATTGTTGGCTAAGGCAAGCCGGTTTTCACACGATGTTTTCCTTCACCGTACGAGCTAGTGTTAAATGCGCACATAGATAGATAGAATCTATGACCTCAGAGATGAGCGGCACGCTGAAGCCACTAGGCCAACTATGCTCTGCTTTGGTGGTTTATAGTTTTAAATAACTTGTTTCAACTTTGAATACGAACGCAGAACCTGATCCGATGTCACAATTGCATTGTTTCTAAATGTATATAAAAAGTTAATAGATGATAATAATAATTGAAATTAAAAAAGGAGGTAAAAAAGGTCCTCAATTACCTGGTGATGATGCTCGTGTAGATGGCGATCGTCGACAACGTAGCGTCGCCCGCCCAATGAGACCAGCCGTTCACGACTAACACGGGAATAAACATATATTTATAAGGCATTGATTTAAAGTGGCTATTGTAATACATTCAGCATATAGATAGATAGATAGAAATTAATATATTCTCATAATTAAAACTGTACGAGCCATGACTGTACATTTTCCTCACTCAGGCTTTCTTAGTTTTATACGCGTGGCGATTTCCTAAATCGTAAAAAGTATAGCTCTTTGACTGTTTACATTCGTTTCATAGCAATTAACAATTCATTATTTCGCTTTTATTCTATTGTTGTACGCGAGGTTAATATAGAGTAAAACAAAAATCCCCTATTATTTAAAGTACCTTGATGACCCAGGAATCGTAGAAAAACATTTAAGTAATAAATATTATTACGCTTTTTAATACTTTTCAACCATTTTAATAAATTACAATTTCAGCTGTTTTATGAAAATGCTTAAAAATTTAATTTTCTATAATTTAAAGCAATTACATATCATCAAAAGAATAAACCATACCTGTCTCTGGCAGGAGGCGCGCGGTCGTACGGCCTGCGCTCGTCGTAGCCCGTCGCGGGGCCCCCAGGGGCTCCACTTGCGTACTTTCCACTCAACGGAAACTCTCTACTGCTTCTGTAAAATTTATTTTTTATTTTTTTATTATTATTTATTAACACTTCGTTACCTTATTCAAAAACATACATGTAAAAAAGCAGGTTACATAAGTTATAAGGCAACGAACGGCCTTATCGCTAACAAGCGATCTCTTCCAGGCAACCCTAATATGGAACAAAAAAAAAGAAACTCCCACAGAGGGTAAAGTATAAATATAAGTGCATAGATAATTAACCAAAAAAACTCAAAATAAAATAAAATCTAAAGAAAAAATAAAAATAATAATATGTATAAACAAAAATGTAAAAGCTAATCCAAAGCTTAATCGAGTCACAATTAATATATAAGTATTAGCTAATAAAAAGTAAAATTTACTGTTATTAAACCTAAGTAAGGTTAAGAATATTGTAACTACAGTATATTTGTGTGTTGGAAAGTAAATCGATTATATTTACAAATAAGACTTATCAATTGGCTGATGAGGTAAGCTACCTGATATCATGATGTGAGTGCTGCTGATGTTGTTGATGCTGCTGGTGTTGGGGATGGTGATGGTGGTGGCTGTCGGGATCAGGCTCTCGTGTCCGGGGCACAGGTAGAGCCGCTGCTGCCGATGCCGCATTTACCAGCGAAGTGAATGCCTCATGACCTGAATAAACCAATGACATACGTTCACATAATATGACTAAAACCCGTAATACAACTAAGAACGTCTAAGAACATTTTAACGTAAATGAACAATAAAAAAAAAGTTTTATAAATACACTAGTTGACCCGGAAAACGTCGTTTTGCCATATAAATTTTTCTAGGAAACATTTTTTACTTCAATAAAAAATAGGGGAGGGGTTGATCGTGGGGGGTGAAAATTTAGGGTTGTATGTATTTTTAATGGCACATTATAAAAAATTAAAAATAAAATTTCGTCCAAACACATAAAAATAAAATGTTAGTGGTGGACAACCCTTATCACTTAGGGGGTTGAAAGATAGTAGCCTATTCTCAGACCTACTGAATATGCATATAAAATTTGATAAAAATCGGTCAAGCCGTTTCGGAGGAGTATGGTAACTAACATTGTGACACGAGAATTTTATATATAAGATAAAAATTACTACAGTACACTGACCGGGAGGCGGTACGGGATGCGAGTAGGTGTGCGAATGCCTCTGGATCACGGACACCGTGTCGCGATCCCGTCTGATCTGGTGTATCTGGTGCTGCTGCATCGGCTGGTGCTGGTGCTGTTGATGTTGCTGATGTTGCTGATGTTGCTGTTGGGCCGGCTGAGGCTGCTGGTGCTGCTGCTGCTGGTCACGATCTCGTCTAGCCGCTGGGTGCATTTGCTGCGAGGTGATGAAGTCCGTCAGCATTATCTGCCGTCGCTCCAGGCCATACGGTCCTCGGGAGGTGGCTGCGTTAGAAGGCTGTTGGGCAAGTTGTATATATAATCTAATTCAAATTATTAATATTTTACTTTACTTAAATGTATTAAGAATCATTATGAATATTATAACTATTTTTGAAGTTATACTTAGGGAAAAATTATCAGAGTAAATTTTTAAGATGCGCACGCACATCGTCACAAAAAACCGACACCCTGAAGTTAGCATAGTCAACATTTTAAAATAAAAAATGTCCATTTCTTTAAGTATGAAAAAATAATTCTTTTGTAATATGTATTTAAACAAACTTTCCTAACTTTTTCTATTGTTGGTGTCGTTTTTTCTACAAACGTGAATAAGGCGAAAGATAAAAAATTTAAAAAGATTTTTATCTTGTTATGCCAAAGAAGTATAACTTCTAACGCGTGTTCATAAGTTTTTTTTCTGTTTTTGTAATGTTCCTCTGTATATGTTATGCAAACAGAGGAACATGTGTGTGTTTTCTAGTATAGTAATTTTTTTCTGAATGTATGTGTGTTTATAAATAAATATACCGTTGTAAAGGACTGCGGCGACTGCGGGCGGGCGTAGTAGCCGCCTCCCGGGCTGCGACGGCGGTCAAAGTATCGTTTGTCTGGGAGATGGTGTAGAGGGGCGAGCGGCGTGCCGGCCGTGATGGAACCCGTCTTGGGGTCGGGTGGAGTACGTTGCGCCTCGAAGCGGCTCTCCACTGGCGTGCCTAGCGTTATAGACCCCTTGGGGTTAGGAAGTTTGAGGGCGGGCCGCGGGGACGCCGCCGGCTTGGGTTTGTTCGCCGCATACTGCGTCGGCGACTGTCGCTCCGCTGCCCGGTATCCCGCCGCATACTCAGCGGTTCGGTAAGGCTGAAAGAAAGTTTGCTCATTTAGAAACACGTAAGCAGTTATTTTTGTTGTCATAATTATAATCTTAGATCAACATTCCTCGCGTTCCAGAGTACACTCACCGAGGGCGGCGGATGTCGGTCTAGTCGCGGCCTTTTGACGGTGAGGTCTAGAAGGGAGTCCGGTTGGGAAGGAGCTGGCCTGTCCACCTGCAGCAGAACGAGGTCGGGCGCTCCTTCGGCGGGTAGCGGCGTGGCTCCCCGGGGGGACATCGCGTTAGAGTGCTGACCGCCGCTCACCACCGTCAGAGTCGCCAGCTCGTGGTTTTGTTGCGTCTGCTGCTGTTGCTGAAAAATTAAATTACTTTAAAGATATTTTTTGTACTATATAAGGTTTTTTTTATTTGATTTTATTTTAACTTGTACCCTTAAACGTAAATATGTATAATATTTGTATACCTTAGGAGGGAGGGGATGTTGCGGCGGCCTGCTGTTTTTCATGAGGCTGACCTCGATCATGTTGAGCACAACATCACGTACGGTTAGTTGTGCACTAACACAAGGGCTGGAGGTAGCCACGCTGACGCCGCTAACTGCGTTAACCCCGCTTACTGCGGTCGCGATGCTCACCGCACTCGCTGTGCTCACCGCACTAACCCCGCTCGCAGCAGTCTGATTAGAAAACGATAAATTAGTATCGAGTTTAGTATTTTCTTGGAATATAGATATGCATGATGTGGGGCGGACCTTAGCGCTGGGCGCGTCGTTCTCTTCGTCAGCCGTCTCGGTGGCGGAGGAGTCATACTCGTCTCGTTTGGGGCGTCGCGGTGCGGCGGCGTCTGTCCGCGGGCCGGGCAACGGCGGAGGCCGAGGGGACCCCGCACTGGCCGTGTCTGTGTCCCCCGAGCTGCCGCTATCGTCAGAGCCGCTTCGCGCTCGAGGTGAACCGGCGTCGAGTCGTAGACGGCGGCGGTAGGTGAAGTAGAAGGCCTTGAGGCTAGCGGCGCTGCGACCGCTTGCGGCCGCCATCCGGTCCCAGGCCGTGCCGCAGTCGCGCAGCAAGGCCCGAAACCGAGACGCCTCCTCTTCGGACGGCTCACCAGAGGTAACTCCCGCCGCCTCTAACCGCCGCGTTATCCGCTTGAAGCACGTTAGGCAGCATTTGCTTAGTGTACTTGGAATTTCTGGAAACAATAAGTTTTTTCATTAATTTATTTGTAAAAACTAGTTACAGTTAGGTACACGCGCGGTTGATCCCCAAAAATCGATCGACTAAGTAAAAGCATTATCATTATCTCATTATGACTAATTATGTATGTTATTTTAGAATTCCGAAAAAAAATGGTCCAATAGCAAGGGACAGTGTACTTACTGAACTCATCCATAATAGGTTTCTTGTCGTTCAGCGGCAGATCGTGCCACGCTGGCGGTAGATGTCGTAAGCGCTGGGCGCGTGGTCCAGCGCAGGAACGCACCGGACAGCGGGAGCGACTCGCTCGCAAAACACGACAATGGCAGGCCTCGCAAACCCGATGGCCCGTTGTACCCGCCTCGAACCCATATTGCGCAGCATTGCTCGCCGGTACTGATCGCGTACCACTGCCCGTCGAACACACGGCGCACGGCCCTGCATTTCCCGCCGTCCCGACAGGACTGCTGGTTCGTTCTGTTATTGCTGTAACAATAATAATTATCGATTAAATTTTTGTTATTTTGTCTAAAAAATACCTGGACCTGCTTTAAATATATATGTTTTTAAGAATTTAAAGGGATTATTAATTAAAAGATGTGAAAGATGCTATCAAAATACTCCCAATCCCAGTACATTTTCAGTAATAGCGCAACGGAGCGCATCAGACAGACAGGCGTGTATTATTAACGTCCCCGGCAGGCCCGCTGTTTCACTTAGTTAAGCCGACTGAGCCACTGTTCATTATTTTATCATACTAATTCGCTTGAAACTACGATTTCCTTGTTTCACCTGGACTTTTGTGGTCCATGAGAATAATACAGATTTTGAAATAACACTTCGCACGTAACTACGAATGTCCACATGAGTTCTACGTACTTTTCATGCCCTTTTGGAGGTTAATAAATGGACTATGGTGGAAATCTTTATGCGAATATCTACTATATTTTATACCTACAGTTAAATGATGAATAGTGCAACCGTTTCGAGCCAATTAACTGCAACTCAGAACAGCGGATGTAGCAGTTCTAATAGTTAAACTGTTCTGTTGGTTTTACTGATGTACTTCGTTTATACAGTATCAAATACCTTTAATGTACAGTACAATAATTATAACAATTATATACTACACAGTATTCTATAATATATCTTATAATAGTTTAAGCCTTAAGGGTTAGCTTTTTATTATTATTACTTTCTACGAGCCAAAGCTGTACAAGGCTTTCTTAGTTTTATAAGCGTGGCGATTTCCTAAATCGTCGGAATTACGCCCGGAGAGTATAGCAAGACGTAGGCACTCTCTTCGACATATGCATTCATTCGTTATATAGCAATTAACATTTCATTATTTCGCTTTTATTCTATTGTTGTACGCGAGTGGTTAATATAGAGTTAAACTAAAATCCTCTATTATTTAAATCACCCCGAAGATCCAGGAACCGTACATACTTTGATGATAGTAGCATAGTTTGAGAATACGTAAGTTTTATTGGCAAACACACGGGCGCTTCTCACAGATGGTACGAATGGTACACACGAGTAAGAACTTGTATCAATACACTAGGCTAACCTAACCTATCTCGAGCCAGGACAATTTCGTGGATTTAACCACAACTATTCATACAACTCAATTATGACTTATTATCTGTTCAGATTTCATTTGAACATTGGTCAACCGCTGACGCGGTTATCCCAATTTTGTGGTGCGCGATACACTGACAGCTTAAAAGAATAATATTATGTTAATTTAAATAAGTACACAGTATTTAAGATGTTATTATATTTTAAAAAATTGCACTCAGCTGAATTCGATTAAATATGTAATTAAACTCATGGCTTACGTAGATATTGATGTTTTCTATAAAACTGTAGTACATCACATTACTTTACTGTCAATAGTTTCCGCAGTGTACGCAAAATAGGGATTTTATTGGTATTTTTTCACATTTTCGAAGGTTACATAAGGATTCTTAACTTTTTGAAAACATTCTACAGCTTATGTTCATCAGGGATAATGGAAGATTCTAATAATGAGAGAATTATTAAAATTAAACCAACAAACAATCAAACCTGTTCGTTATAAAAAATAACAAGTGTAGATAAATCCGAAATCCTGTCTTATTCATTTATCGTTTCCTGTTAAAGTGGCGAAGACTCTTTCGAGTACTTAATTATCGTGGTGAGTCTGCCCGATAGCTTTGAGAAAATCCCACCACCTTGAACCTCTACCCGTAGGGCTCCGTCTGATACCTTAGGTCTTTTGGTGCAGACATCCCGTATTTATTTATAATTTTATATATTTACCTATGTGTTAGAGTACAACTGTACACAACTGTAGAACTTAGGTTGCTAGGTTTTAAGTTCTCGCGCTCTCCATATATACAGTTATCTGTGCAGTTTGCTAATACACCACATATACTATATAGATACTCCTGGCACTTATTATTACATATATTTAAATAGACATTAATTAGTACACTGGCTGGCAAGCTGTACATAATCTATATTTCATTAACAGTATTTTTAATTCTTAAAAGATTAAACATATTTTTCTTCAGAACACTGTTATAATAATATGCTTAGTTTGGACTTATTTTAAACGGTGTTTATTCAGCGAGGAGCGATTCGCAAGTCGATCCAGTACTATCTCAGTGTGTTTAGTTAATTAGCTGCGGAAAACGCTCCGCAAACACGTTCCGTTTATCTTGAACGTTCTCAACAGTTCCCCCTCTTCTCCTACATTTAGCACTCGAGTCTTGTGTTAACATTTTCACGTTGAAATTACAAAGCTACATGAAGAATATTGGGAGTTGTTAACGACAAATCGATACTAATATTATCAAAGCGCTTATCTCAGGCTAATACTGGGTCGATCGAAAAAAATATTTTTCCATAAGAGTACATTTATTTATAATAGCCAGATGAACGTCGGTGTAGCTAGGGACATCTAGTCAAGTACAGAAAAAAAGTATCTTAATCTTTATCTTGGTATGCTACTTGTGTGGACACGTTAGCTCCGTCTCCCCGTCGTCACCACCCTCGGACAAGCACAAAAGCTGGCGCGGCCGCAGAGCATTCCTCGCTCAACGAATAAGTATTGCAATACAGCCAGGAAATGCTGCCAGCATTAAAGGTACACTCCCATAGGGAACAAATTTTTTAAATTCGTTTAATTTTTCATTTATTAATTGTTCATCAGTATTATTATTATTAGTATATAGGTTGAGAATATTGTAAATACTTTATAAAGTTATATTATCTTACCTATAAAGAAATTACCCATAAGTAAAACTCGCGAATCGTTTTAAATCTTTAACGAAACGTATTCAATTAAAATGTGAATTCTTTTTGCAGACTGCAAAGGCATCGACTTTGATGACAGCAAATTTTTAATGAGCACTTTTAATAATTAATGATGAAAATCAAACATTATTAATGAATAATAAAGAGCTGCGCATCCCGGCGTAATTAATCCGGGATAATTCAATTAATCCCTCGATTACCGATGTTTGAACAAGACCTAATTGGATCCAGCTCTTTGGCCGCGCTCATTAAACTTCACATTATTCAACACTTGTTAGCGCGCTCTCCAAACTGAAACTTTATTATACAACTCAAGTCTTACAAGTCCGTGTATTTATTAAAAAGATTTAAAAGATCTTAATTTTTAATTAGGGTTTTCATTTACTTGAATACAGCATATATCATTAATTCCTTTCAGTCACACAACTCGAAGATAATATTGAGGAAAGGCACATTGACAAGTAAATCGAGGGATCAAAAATTGTTTTATTTCTAAGAATATCGTATTGGTATGGTGGTTTATTTGCTGGTGCTATGAAGCGTGACAATTTAACGAGCTGCCTACAGATTCTGTTTATTCTGTATGCAAACACTAGAGACATTTCGCAGATTAAACGCACGTGTATTTCATTTGAGTATTCCAATGCTGTATTTATTCAAAGGGACATTATTTGGTTAGTATAATATCAATATATGATCGTCTTACAATAATGCTGCGGGGTATTGCTATGGGAATATGTACTAAACATATTGACAATAATATATTTATAGTTGCGGGCAAGCATGAGTTTAGATATACATAGATAGCTTTATAGGATAGGAAGATTCGAAATCAAAATCGCGCTCGTCTAAGCCAAGCGAAGACTTGATTCTGAATTTTACACTTAGTGTTTCTGAACAGTGATTGCTAAATATGAATTAGAATTTACTACCTTATTTGTGTGAGATATTTAAATTTCACTTGCGACTTTTAATATAATTATCACGTAACAATAAAACAGTGAATCAATTGAGCCGTGAGAGGTGGGTTCAAAGGGCGCCGTGACACTAAGCCTGACATGACGGCTTCACACGGAATACGTGATCACACGGCCGCCCGCTGCCGCTCATATTGTAATTGGATTGATTGTTGTGTATAAGCCGCACATACCTGATTACGCGATAATAGATACCTTGTTTTGTTAGCTTTTTGATGTGATATCCACATATTTTGTTCCAATTCACAAAGATGTAGGGAGAAATTATTAGGTTAGCCACGCGATGATGCGATGTCCGGTGTTGAAAGCAATCACCTATGTGCGTCTGCCGAAGATAGCTATCTTCGGTGAACTAAACAAATGCTTCCGCCGTTTATATGTATTTATTGTTTATGATTAATCGTCCATAATAACTCGGTACATCGTGTTACAAATGCTAAGTTATAAAGGCAAAGCTTGAATGGGGTCCCAAAGGCAGCGGAGCGCCCGCGGCGAGGGACCTCTAAGTGAATTAAGTGTTTGCCGAGACTACTGTACTCCACGAATATTTCATAGCGTTCGAGATCTTTTGAAAAATTGTCAAGCTTCATGTTTTATTAATGAGTTGGAAGAACAGCAGCCATCTTAACGTTTGTGTCAATTTCAATTAAATAATGCTCTCTCGTTGTTTAACGTAACTTCATAAAGTAATACTGACACAATATTAACACTTAACATAATTACATACTTGATAATTCGCTAAATCATCGATTTAATTATTTTACTACACAACCACAATTCTTGAACTAATATACTAATAAGTAAAGTTCTTGGACTTATTTTATCTGACGTATTACAATAAATCATAAGCATAATCGCAATTTAAGCCCGCAGTCGCCGAATGTAAACACGTGCACAGTGGGTAATTAAAAGCTTAAACGCCAAGAAAGCAAGGCGCAGCCCTAATTGGCGGCCGTCGCGAATAAAACCGAGGCGAGAGGAAGTCTGCGCTCAGTCCGCCGCCGCCAGCCTCCCGATGCTGTCCCTATACCGCGCGTGGCTCGGGCCTAGTCCGTGTGTGGCACGTCCCGTACCCCCGCCCGGGGCGCATCGGCCTGTCCCCAGACGGGCCAAAGCTCCTTCGCCACCAGCATCTCCGCCGCCCCCATCACCGTCATCCACCACGTCCAGCGAATTGGACGTGGAGCGTGTAGAGGCCCCAGAGCCACCTAAGCGACAAACGGCCGTGCTTGATGTGGCCTCGTGCGATGGACCCGTACGCTTCACCCGTGTGCTAAATGGGGCCTGGCGAGAAGCGAGCCCTGAACGTGAGTGGGGCCGGCCCCGGAAACAGCGTTCCGTGCTTCACTACTATCCGTGCAAGACTTGTGGCTGCAAGTTCCCTTCCTACTACTTCGTTCACAAGCACCGCAAGAGGTGTCACGCGGAGGAAGCAGACCGGGACTCGCCCGAGCCCTGCACTTCCACGGCCTGAGCGTGTGTTAACTATGTGATTAAAACTCTTCTTCGAACTGTTAGTTAAAACCGAACGATCCCGGCGTTGACATTTTCTTATAGAACTCTATATTAAAATTTAACTATGTAACTTAAGTGCTTGTCCGATCAGTTTTAAAAATTCCTTCGGTTTTCATGACGGCTTTAAAGCAGTGGAGTCTTCTTAGTCTTGACATTAATTTTAGTTTCCCATAACTATTATGTTATATCTATAATGTTGTTATATGAGGTGAAATACTAAGAATCCAACTTTCCAAATTGGAATTAATTCATCAAATGTATATTAACTGTATTGATCTCAATATTAAAAGTTATTGAAAATAATAAAATGTTTTAATTGGCAAAATATGAAGTTATTCCTACAAAACTGTAAGTTGTTGTTTGTTTTATTAATTATATTTACATTATTTCAATAGATGAGTGAGTGTTTCATTTACTTTCGCTCTGTTTGGAAATCTTTCAACAACATCCAATTTTTTACGTGATTTCTAAGAGATAAAATAAAGATTATTTCTATACTCAAATAAACACGCTTAGAGCAGGATTTTAGAACAACGTCTACTCAAACCTAACAACTGGTATTACATATAAATAAAAATTATGATTGAATTAAAAAAATATTTGAATTTTTGTAATGGTAAATACTAGTGAGAACACTGAAATTACGAATTATTTGTTTACTATATGTCACTCCTAAACGAAATCATACATTACAAATCATTATTATATAAACGTATGAGTTCGTACCCTAACTATTAAAGAAGTACAATATATTGTTTAAAAAACTAATTAACCATATTTGAAAATTGATAAAATATTATTCCATTTCTGGTATTTACAAAATTTACTTATTTAATTATTTAATTAACTTATGCTTTATAGGGTTTCCAACCCCGAGTTTTTGCTCACTGTAACTTTAACGCAAATAACCTCGTACACTGAACCATTTTCTGAAGAGTTTAAAGCCATTTCATTGATTCAAACCAAAATTCAAAGTCTCGATTAACGAAACGATTATTAAAAAGATTTTTTATTATTTTATTAAATGGTCACATTACGACTACGACTAAGGTAGAATATTGATTTTTAACGTACACACATAAAATACTGTTATTTTTTCCTATTATATTCTTATAACGTTCAAAATATTCTTGTGGAACCTAAAAAATTTCAAAAATTGCACTCTCCCAACTGTTGAATTTTTTGAGTGTGGAGACTATACACGCCCTTACCTGGCTCGGGCGTGGGCGGTGGATGCGTCGGTGTCGCCGCAGGCTGCGGCGTGGGCGGATTTGGCTGTGACGTTGGCGGTGTTGGTTGTGACGTTGGTGTTGCGGGCTGCGGGGTGGGCGGTTGGCTGCCTGCGTTTGCGCCACCAGACATGCTTATGCTTGCCACTTGACTCGACGTGGTCTAAACACAATATAAACAGTCCATGTTTAGTAAAGTTATACATCTTGAAATAGACATAACATTTATTACTAACAAAACACACACACAAAATAACAATAATCAAAGAAATATATAACTATAATCACATTTCTTTAATGTGTTTTAAATTGACACCATAAATGGTCTGTAACTCACCGTAATAACAGAGGTGGTGTCTCCCGTTGGTAGGACGGCGTCGACGGGTGGCGGCGTGGGTTCGGGAGCCGTGGGACTGCCTGGGGGCAAGCTGATGGCGCTGACACACACCGACTCGCTTTGCCCAGCCTCGCCGTCCGCCCCCATCAGGCTCGGTGTTGTGGATGACTGTTCCAGCGAAGGCAACGGTGTCGTCATCCCGATGCTGACGGCTGGTGGTGCCGACGACGCCAGCGGAGGTGACGGTGGCAAGGGAGGCGTTCGACTAAGTTCCGACCTGAGTAGAAATAGTTCAATTGTCAGAAATTAATAGAACCTTTAAATTACTTGGCAATTTCATAGTACGTATAATATGTTTTGAATAAAATATTAAAAAATCCATAGTAATTATTTATTCAATATATCTCTTAAGACGTAACTATGTTTTGGATATTCAATTAGCTAGATGTCATCCGTAAAGAGAAAAAATAATATTTTAAAGCCGTAACAAAGTTAGCGGAAGGTTAATACGGTGGGGTTATAATTAAAAAGAGTAATTTAAACAATCGCAGCGCGGCCGTCGTGTTTATTGAGTGCGGTGATTGCGCGGGGAGCCGCGGGCAAAATGAGACTGCACAGAGCGAATTGAGCTAATTATGTTTACTGTGCCTGCCGCTTATCTTGTGCCTAAAATGCGATGGATTCGCACACATATTAAATTTTTCTTAAATTAATAAGAATATCCATAGCGCTAAATCACCTGCATCATGGGCACACCTTACACACACACTCACGTACATAGTACATACCCTCACTTTCACACCATCACACCGCACAGCCGTACGTATTTAATAATTTGTATTTATCTTTTCCTTTCGAAAATGTTTTGCTATATATTTAATTGTTGTATAATTTATATTAGCTGTAATTAAAAAATAATAAGACTCGAGACCAACCACCTTAACTTTAATCTTTTGAGTAAAACTATTTATTTACATTTCTCTTTATTATATATATTTTTAGTATTTCATGTAAAGTTCGATACTTCAAATTTATTCTAAAAAAATAGTTTTACTTAATAGAGACAAAAATGAAAACACACAATGTAATTGATTGAAAAATAATTAAATTGAATTAGCAGGGAATGCGGTATATTTGAACGCAATTAAACAGCGTCAATTAATAGAGTAGTGGCCGGTGGGTGGTAATTATCTCCGGGCGAACGCAAACTGTTCGAGTTAACTCAGTTTTCAATTAATCCTAACTTACATTACTTTACTCTCATTTAATAAAGTCATTTTGGCTATGACATTTTAACCGCATAATTTTGTAATTCACAAAATATTTAATGTTTTTGATTGTTTTGTTTAGTGTGTAAATATCCTAGAACCCCAATTAATACAGTATATTGTCTAAATAAAAGCCATTTTATATATTAAAATGAAAGAAAATAAAACAAACCGATATGAAATATCAATAGCGAAGCAGGATTGCAAAAAGTAAGTTTTTTCGTTGATGCTAGCGGCCCCCTCCGCCCCTATCGGCGAGCGCTTTAATTAAGGCAATTAGAAAGATGGGTTGCCGCGTGTTTGCGTAAAAATCTAAACAAACCGCGTACTGCGGGCCCACTAGTGACGAGCCAACCAAGACGTGTCGATGTACGGATGAAAATAATATTTCTCTACTCACATGTGATCTTCACCATATGTTATATGATAATAAATTTACAATTAATTAGATTTTGTTTATCTAAAATACATACATATTTAAGTCATAGTTCGTTAAACGTTAGAAATAATCGGCTATCGACAAATGCGTTGCACAACCCGTGGTCGCCCCCGCTCAGTCTCCGGGGACATTTCGACAAATAATAGCTGGAGTGATTGTCAACATACGCACGAATATCGCGCGGTTATAATACCCCATCTTCCCCTGGGACATCCGTCCCATCAATACGATCAAGAACATCATCACTTCATGACGGACTAGCAAGGAGCTACTGTAACCAAGTATAGCTATCAATATTACCTAATGGCTAAGCGCGTGGCTATACCAACCCTGCCAACTGAGGTGGTGCGTTCCCCAGATGTGCACACACTTTCTGGGCACATAGTGCAGAAGTTAAAGGAAAACATCGTGAGGAAACCAGCATATCTGACGGCCTAATAGTCGACGGCGTAAACATATGGGCTTTAAGATTAGTAAGTAAGACCAGAGTCGCCGTCTGGGAACCCATACACAAAACAAAATTGTTTACATAATATATAGGTTAAGAACAAACAATATCTTAATTTGTATACATTTAAATAAGGAAATAAAAATGTCTAAGTTTATGGTTCAAATGTACATAGGAGGCTGGAAGCATGAAATAGCATCAACTCCCAGCCTCCAAAAGGCAATTTTGTAAACAAATGTAACGCCTTAATAACGTGCTATTTTATTTAGAGGAAGTACGGAAGAAATAAAAGAATGCTTAGCTTAATCGACGCCGGTGATAAAGTAGCCGGGGAATGTAGGCTTATTAGGAACTAAAAAAAAAGTCGATCACAGACGACCAAGACTCTGAATGTCACAGATTTTTTTAATTTATTAAATCTTTCTACACAGTACAAAACATCTTTATAGACTTTAATAGTAAAACTAGAGTTAGGTGTTTAACTCTTGATTAAAAAACAATCGACCTATTTTAATAGTCAAAGCGATACATATTTAATTAAATAAGCGATATTAAAAACGGAATGAAACTTGCAGACGGTAAATTGAATAAGAAAAAAGGCCAGCAAAGTGGATTGGAAGAAAAATATGAATTTTAAACGATTAATGAAATGAGGGATCCTGAACTCGAAGCGAGTGGCTGCGGGCAAACACCGACCACTCGGCGTGTGTTAACATCGCTCTTCACCTTTTATTCAAATTACATTTCTCTTATGACGGGATTTTGGCTGATGTCAAATTTGGACGATTTGAAAATTCATTTGTAGTTTTAAAATATTGAGAATATAGAAAGATTAAAAAGACACTAAAAAAAATTGGAATAAATATTTTACAAATCAATAACAGAACAATGACATGTGTGTGTGAAAGCCTGTTTGTAAACACTGAATAGAGAGAATGAGCTAGACACATTTTTGTGTCACTTTACCAATTTTTTTGAGCCTTTAACGGTTCCAAGACAAGAAACATTTTTTATTTTTTTTTATTTACCTACTTGAATAAACATAAAGTCAACTTTAAGAGACATGTGTACTATGACACTTGTCGCACTTTGTACCTAAGACTTTAAGATTGTAAATCAATTATCATGCCTTGTTTGAATTTGTTATTTTTTTATTATTTATGTAAAGTAATTAATTCAAGTTAATTTTGTTCTTATGTATTTTATTTATTTTATTTATTAACACTTCGTTGCATATTCATTAATACACTACAATTGACATAATTAAATAAAAGGGAGAGCAACTGGCGGCCTTATCGCTTACGAGCGATCTCTTCCAGGCAATCACATTTTATTATAGTATTGTACTTAATGCCGACGCTTCGGTGGATGGAAATTGTGTTCCACCGTCATATGGATTGTATAATACGCCATATATATGCTGATAATAAAAATAGGAACCTTTTATATATTTTATTGCAATACTAAACATTGTACGGAGAAGGTAAAGCAAGGAAATGAATTTATGGAATTCAATGAATTCGTCAATCGTACGTATTGCGGATGCAGGAGTGCAGTACAATACTCGCTGTTTGAACAACTGATTGAATTGTATGTTTATTGATGTTATTTATTTTGACCGCTTTTTGTTTGAGCTCTCCATCTCTGTAATTATTACAATCGATTCAATTAATTGTTTTAAGAGCAGAGCTTTCTTACGTAGATATAGAAAAAAAATATAGCAAAATGTCTGATTTATTGTAAAAGCGACTGGAAAATGGTATATGCAATGCCAAGTTCAAGAAATTCAGTGTAAATATCATGTAGAATGCGAGTTCGTAAGTATTGAAGTATATTAAAATATGAACACTTTTGTGTTTGTCAACTTAGAAATAACAATCCTAAGATTTAAAAACACTTAAGTTTATGCAATGATAATATTATTAAAGGTTTGTTGACAAAATAAATCACTTTTTAACTCGCCAATTAACTGTATTGCTTATAAAAAAATACTGTTTATATATATTTTCAAAAACTTATGTCCATATTGTAATTTTAATTGAGATGGCGCTAATATACGGATTGCAATATACGATAAACCAAGATTGTAAAAGGTCCCTATTTCGCAAGGATTTTGAAATGCAATGGTCACAAGGCATTAGATGTCGCTTAATGAAATAGTGGTTCAAAAATAAAAGTCAATTTAAAACAGCGCCATCTAGGGGTTACTTTCGATTATGGAAGGATAATTTATATAACGACCTCTACGGAATACATTTTGAACTACCGTGTAAAGCAAGGAAAGGTTTGAACTTTTATCGCGTTATTCAAAAGTTAAAATGAAGTTAGAAGTCAAAGTTTTATTCACAGTAACAATTAAAGATGGCCATATGTATGACTGAGAAAAAAGGGGTCGACTATTGTTTATTTATCTGAGCCATTCACAAGTAATGTGGAGTAACAGTAAATGAAAATACATTTTATTAAGAATGCATATCAAAAGAGACTTCACAATACGAATAAGTGGTAACCTATATTTAAAAATATCAGTGATGAGAATCACACTCTTAACCACGAGGCTAAGACTCAAATTATAGCCTACTAGAATATAGTAATAATCCTTGATTATATATTGTATTACATATAAATGTAAAAATTGTATGGAGAAGATAAGCAAATATGGAATTCAATATATGTAGATTGTCATGTACTTAAGTCATATTTAAATAAATTTTCCCAACAATCCGATTAGTAAATAACCATTATGGAACCAAAAATGGCAGCCACTTTTCATTCTTTGTGTAGTTATAATATAGCTAAATAGATTGTGTTACTAAAGGAAAACCAAAACTAACCAATCACAAAAATGAATAAAATTGTCTAGAATAAAATCGCAAATAAACTGACCGAAAGATAAAATGTCTATAATAATAGAAAAACTAAAAATTCTGCTGTACCTGGAGGGATGCGCAGAGGGAGGTGCTTGGGGAGGCATAGGGATGCCATTGATATCGGCCACAACTGCTTCTTCCAGACTGGTGGTGTCCTTATCAGCTACCCTAGTCCCCTGCGATCGTTGAAGACGCGTTGTAACCCCACTGGAAGCATGGATCAGTTCTGGCTCGGGTGGTGGCCGAGGCCTCGCGTGTCTTCTTGGACGTGGCTTACGGAGTAACTGCTTGTAGTTCTCTGCCTTCTTTGATAGGTAGTAGAATCTGTCAAACACATTGTTCAATATTATATAAGTATTTTTATACAGGTTCTTTAAAACAACACTTTAAAAACTGTAGAGTTGCTCCAGCTTATCTCTTATAGTTTAATGAAATGTACAAGTTGTAATGAAACAAAATAATAAGTGTGAGTCAGGAGATCTGAGAATTAAGTACTTATTTTTTGAATCCTTAAACTTTGATATTATATCATACTATTATATATTTTCTACATATATTTTGTTAAATGAGTAAAAAACTATATAACATATTATAAAAGTAGGTTGTACATTTTTCCATGCAAAAAGGCAGACTAACGCTTTTACCGTTGATCAGATGAGTACTTCATATTATAGTATGAAGAGGAATCATTGGTTAAAGCTAAATAACGTTTTCTATAGAATTTACATTTTATTATTGTACTTATAACGTACTGGTATTACAACAATGTTATGATGTAGCACACGACATGAAATTTATAGATATCTTATATTTAATATGAAAACGGCACGTGGAAATATGCAGACACAATGTGACCAATACACGTGTTTCGTACAATATTAATAGCTTTGATTTATATAAGTGTAAAGTACAGAGTAAAATTACCGTGATAACAAAATAGAGCTCAACCGATAGGCGTAATGTTCTAATCTGTCTTCCAATACGATTGTCCCTTCGAAGTTATCGTTACCTCTATATAATAATTTATAAAATATTATATTTAAATATATAATAATAATTATAGTGTGAAAATATAAAAGTCAACAAAACCCTTGCATTTGCAAGTACTCACAATTTATGAATTTATTTGAATAGTTTTCCTTATTAAATTTGATATTTATATACACAAATATATTATAATATGCTAAACATATTTTGTGACAGAAGTCATACCTAACGCAATCCCGAACGGTCTTGCGGGGTAGGAAGGAGGAGATCTGGCCAAAGTTCTTAGGGTGCTGTAGAAATTTGTCTCTGAAGAGGTCCTTTTCGACTGGGGACCATACATTTCGCAGTTGCAGCTCTTTATGTTCAGTCTCCATATCGATTTTACGCTGGTTTACGTCAAGGGGTAACCGGGGTAGGCTTGGATCTCGTAATAACGGCGGTACAACGGTTAAGGACCGCATTTTCTTGTCTTCATGTTCCTGCTCGTGTAGCCCGTCCGCGATTTCTTCTAATTCCGCCTCAGACTTGACTCTGGCGCCCAGTCTTAACAACCGCTCGCGCTCTTCCCGCTGTTTTCGTAGCTCCGGGAACACCTTCAATAGACCACCAAAATATAATTAATGGTTAAACTAGGTTAGCAATGAAAATTAAAACTTAATAACGCGTTATTTTTAATATATTGGTATAACTGTCCTAATACCAATGAGGTAACTGGACACTCGAATTTTCTTCGGAAATTCTTGGTGATATGTTAAATTCGGTGGAAACAAAATGGCATATAGCCTTCCTTGACAAATGAATTATCCAATACAAAAACATTTTTCCAATTCAAACCATTAGTTCATGACATTGGCGCGTTCACCTATATTTATAGAAAAAATTACCTTTTCAAAGAACTCCCTATTCCTTGCGTCTTTAATTTTTCTCTTCTGTCCTTGTTCAATGCGTTCTACTCGTCGCATCCATTCTGCTGCGCGGCGGCTATACACTTCCGCTAAGGCATCTTCTCTCTGTAAACAATATTTTTATATAAATAATTTTGCTTATTTTATTTTTATTTTTTTTAAACAATTCACACCAATTGACCTAGTCCTATGCTAAGCTGGTGAAGCTTGTGTTATGGGTACTAGGCAACGGATATACATACATATTATAGATAGATAGACACATAAATAAATACATATTTAAACACCCAAGACCTAAGCACAACACCAAATGCTCATCACATCGATGTTCGTCTCAGCCGGGGATCGAACCCGGGACCCATGGATTCGCAGTCAGGGATATTAACCACTAGACCAATGAGTCGTCAACATATAGACACATATATATATTTGCACCTATTAATATATTATATTACACATAATAATTATCTAGATGGTTGTGAACTCAACTGGATCTGTTTCTTTGATTTCTATCCTTCATAGACAAGTAGGGAAAACAATCTTCTGAGTTTGACAAATATCATGGCTTATAATAAATTCTAATTTCCTCACGTTGTTTGCCTTAACCGTACCTATGTTAAATGTGCACATAAAAACATACATTAGTCGGGGTTTGAAGGAGCGTTGCTTCACTCGCTTCAGCCACTAAGGCAACACTACTTATATTATTCTAACACTAACTTTCTGTTAGAAAGAATCAAAAGGAGAAAGTATGGATGGTTATTGAAACAAAACTTCGATACAAACACGGATATATATTTATATTATTTTTTTTAAGACAATTCACACCAATTGACCTAGTCCCATGCTAAGCTGGTGAAGCTTGTGTTATGGGTACTAGGCAACGGATATACATACATATTATACATAGATAGACATATAAATACATATTTAAACACCCAAGACCTAAGCACAACATCAAATACTGATCACATCGATGTTCGTCTCAGCCGGGGATCGAACCCGGGACCCATGGTTTCGCAGTCAGGGGTACTAACCACTAGACCAATGAGTCGTCAGATTAGTATTAATTTGTCTACGTTTCTAATGCTTTCCCAGTCAGGGTCAGCAAATGCAAATGCAAATTTACACTTATAACCTTTTAAAAAGTTTTATTGAAATGGGACTCGCATAAACAAAGAACAATATTATAATAGTATAGAGAGACTAGCTGACCGGGCAAACGTCGTTTTGCCATATATATCATTTATAATAAAAAAATAGGGGTTGATCGTAGAGGGGTGAAAGTTAGGGGTTTGTACGTATTTTTTAATGCTGTATCAGAACAGAAAAAAATATCTAAAAATAAAAAAAAATATTTAGGGGTGGACTACCCTTAACATTTAGGGGGATGAAAAATAGATCTTGTCCGATTCTCAGACATACCCAATATGCACACAAAATTTCATGAGAATCGGTCGAGCCGTTTTGGAGGAGTATGGCAACGAAAACTGTGACACGAGAATTTTATATATTAGAGATATATAGAGTATAGAGGAAGGATGATGTACGCTTCCTCCAGTATAGAGAGAAACCCTCGAACCGTTTAACTACTGACCGGCCAAGACCCCAATGGCGGTCGAGAAGTCGTAGGTATATAGCAGCCGGAATAACTCTGTTAGCGCGTCTTGATTTGTAGGTGTCATACAATAGATTAACATATTGAAATCTTAGAATCTCTGAAACCACCGATAAAGCTAACATCGAGAAAGTGAGATTAGATAATATTCAATGATCTCGGGAATAAATGTACCACGGATAGATTTTTAATTTGTAGAAAGAAAACTCATGATATGAAAAAACAAACCACTCAGTTTTTGTTGGGGACTTCATGAACTATACTAACATTATGCGGCCCCTTGGGTGTGCCACGCTGGCATAAGCAGTACTAATAACTACTTATCTTATTAAGCTAATGTCGCATTATCAATAGACCAGTAGATGCAAGATACATTAATGACCTCTTGAAAACCAAGACTTGACGTTTGTAGATATTTACTCACCTTCTCAGCCTCCACTCTCAAATTATTCAGATGCAAAGATAATCGTTTCCGGAAGGTTTTATGTCGCCTTATGTTTTCATGATAAACGAGCGTGTCCTGCGGCTGATTGTACAACGGGTACGTCACCGCCGGACCGAGGTGTGCCAATGCCGCGTGACCTGCCGCCGCCTGGAATACACAATTAATGTGTTAGATAAATCATTCAGTACTAGTAAGTAATTTAAAATAAACCGTCTTTAATTATTGCAATTTGTTTAAATTCAAGTTACTAAACTGCAAAAAATATTATTTACCTAGTTGCAATATAAGTCCCGTCTAGCAAATTCGTGGATACCCACATCTACAACTGTTCCCTTAAGTCACCTGATTTTAATCAGAATCATCTCGATATGACTTACACGTACAATCATGTACGTACAAAGTGGGAAGCACACACATTTCCAAACATTATTCAAGTCCAGGTCAAACTACTGATAATAATTAATACTATATTTACTAAACAAGAGTTGATAATAACTGAAAATATTCACCACATACTAATCTAGGTACATAACACCTATCAAGTACGAACACAGCAACGATGTCTATTGCGTAGTGTGTCTAAATTGAATCTATCATTAAAACAATGTATTCAATGACTTATCTTGTTCATGCAGAATATTTTAATATATCTTTAGACGTCAATTTGACTCAAATTTAGATACCGAGCTAATAAATATAAGTGAAGGAGACGACAGAATTGAATTTATTGGAATTAAATAAGCAAATTGTTAAAATTCCTTTTTAATTTTTAATAACTATGAAATATATATATATATTATTTGTATTTTCCTTATTTTTTTTTAAATTACTTTATACGACATTTTTATTTTATAATATATTTCCCAAAATAGTTATTCCATAATATATTTTACATACCCGTTTCCTATTATCGGCATAGATGCACTGCGCGAGGGATCGGTGTCGGGGCGGCGCTTCCTCGGGCTCCGCAGCGGCTGCCGGTTTCGAAGCTGATTGCTCTAACTCTTCTTGCTTCTTCTTCAGCTTCGCTAGTGTCGTTTCCGACAGCGCCATCTCTCTATCCACCTGAGGACACATCGTATATCATTTTAAACCCAGTCCAAAAATGACTATAATTCAAACTAAACAACAACATTTACCTAAATAATGTTAATGATATATTATTGACTCAGCAGTTTTTGTGGTTTAACACAAAAAAACTCTTTAAATCATGAAGTTTTTTGTCGTATTTTTTTAAATCTCGTATTTCAAATCTTAATCAAATGTTAAAAATTATACGAAATAAATTACATATAATAACGATCGTACGGATTAGGTATGGTTATAGACAATATTCCCCCTAATCTTTAATAAATTTTCATCTTTATTTATGAAGTGCATACATCTTGGTTATACCTTATTATTATATTTGTAATTTAAGTGATACCTTAGATATTTGCTGCAACAAGTCATCCTTGGTGGTACGAAAGTTCTGATCTTCGATGGTTGGCTCCGAGGGCGGATTGGGCGACAGCACCTCCACCGTGCTATATGAGTTCATAACGGGCTCCCTCGTATCGACTCTAAGCTGTTGAGGATGGTGGTCTGCGGTGAGGCGGATCTTCTTGAATGGTGGAGGATCAGCGGGCGGTGGATGGTGGGCAGGCTGAACCGGCGGTGGCAGGTAGGCCGAGCCCAGCAGCGACATTCGCGCGCCCGTCCGGTACTCCCCAGACGCTCGCCCATAGCTGTAACCGCAAAATCCACGGGTTAGGATCAACCACACAGCTCAATAGTTAGGTGCGATAATTTGTAAATTTGACCAGTACTGTCAATTATGGTACCACGGTAGATGTATTGCACCATACGATTAACAATACAACATGGTCTAACATAAAATGAAATAACCCTTACAATCAAATATACATACTGTATACATTTACAATTTTCTTAACCTACAAAGTAATAATAAAAATAATTCAAAGTAGTGAAAAAAAAACCCTGTGGCAGTGTTCCTGGCAGCAGTGGAAATAACAAAGATTTGTAAACTAGAGCAAAAAACCTATAGATCCAATTTTAAGAAAAATGAGTACGGAACACCTCAAGGCAGTATTTTGGCCCCGCTACTTTTTCTAACATACATAAATGACCTTCCAGATGCTATACACCAGAACTGTATACTATTTGCTGATGACACTACACTTATAATAAAAAGTAAAAACGAACAAGACTTAAAAAACAATTTAATTAAATCTCTAGACGACGCCATTAACTGGATGAATTCCAATAATCTACAAATAAACATGACCAAAACTAACATAATCCATTTTCAGACATATAACTCTAAAACACAATTAGACTTACAATATAAAAGCAATAAACTAGACATAATGAACGAGTGTGTATTTTTAGGTATAACGATAGATAAATTTTGTAGTTGGAAGTCACATATTGAAAAATTACAGAACAAAATAGACAGTTTTGTTTTTGTGTTAAAACGACTAAGGGAAACTGTTAACCATGCTACGGTATTAGCTGCTTATCATGCATATGTTTCATCTATACTTAGATATGGAATTATAATTTGGGGAAATTCAGTCGAAGTAAATAGGGTATTTAAGGCTCAAAAGAAATGTATTAGAGCAATTTGTGGAGCAAACTGTCTTGATAGTTGCGTACCTTTATTTAAGAAGCTCAAAATTTTATCTCTTCCATGTATTTATATTTTAGAGATATCCTTATTCGTGCACAGAAACATACATATTTTTAAGTCGAATGTAGAAGTTGAAGTAAGAAGTAGACATGGGAAGAATTTGGCTGTGCCAAAAATCAATCTGGAACTGTTTCGGAAAAACAGCTTTTATATGGCAATTAAAGTCTACAATAAATTACCAAAAGAATTAAAAGATCTTCCGTCTAGATTCTTTAAAAAGCGACTTAGTGAATTGCTTTTGGATAAAGTTTACTATTCAATAAATGATTATTTGCATGAAACACCGTAAATGATATAAAGTTAATGATGAAATGTATATAATATAATAGGCTGGATAATATAGGAATTGGCTTTGAATAATATTGTAAAATTATTTGGGACGAATTTGCGCGCCATCGTGTGTGGCAGAATATGCGAACGATTTATGATTGTATCACCTTAGCATTTGTACCATATTCTTGCAATAAATAAATTATTATTATTATTATTATTATTTCCTCGCTGTATTGTATTGTATAGCACTAAATTCGGAATGACAGCTAGGCCATATAACTAAACCTCTTTCGTAGCTATATTTTACTAAAACTAAAGGAATATCCTTGAGTTTTAATCAAATAAAGCTCCTTATCTTAGCTGGGTTTATTTTCAATTGATTTGCAAATCAAATTATTTCATCCTAATAAAACTTGTATTCGCGCGTCTTATTCTAATAGTACAAAACAACACCCGTAACTACAAAGGCAATAAAAACGTATTTAAAGATCATTTTCAATTTTTCTTAATGCTAACCAGAGAGCTTATGCGCAGTTATTTACAAAAAATATGAATATTGTATACCTGAAATCTAAATGTGGGAGGTGCGCGATATTTCAAGAGATTAACATTAATTTTCCTTTGTTCCTTTCAAACAGTGCTGAGTTAAGATTTATCTTCTTTTTTTATTATTTCACTTCGCAAATTTATCTTTCCTATGTGTAGTTAATGTAATATTGAGTTATTTTAGTATAATAATATTATTTGAACTGTTAAAATAAGACAAAATTAACGTTAATTAATAAAATAAAACTACAAATTAATGTTGATTCACATCGCGTGGAGCATATTTAGGTATTAAAAAGCTTATATTGCTGTTTATAAGTTATAAAGATAATGCACGTATTTGTCATAAAAACATTGTTATCAAAATAAAAATGACGTAAGCGAAATTAAGCATCAAACCGGCGCATAGATCAAAACATGAACATCCTAGATACATAAAACATGAAGTAAACTAATTATAGAGTAAACTGGAATGTACTAAACAACGGGGTCGACGACCTCGTATCGCTATCGCCCGATGACGTCACGCAGATTTCACTCACGACATTACACCAGTGACACATAAAAGGAATTCCTTCTTTAGTCATGATGTGCATAAACACGACCACGACAGACTCATTTTCGTGTTTGTTTGCTCAGATAGGTATTGTCTTCTACAGACAATCGAAGCTATGTACCTTAAAATACTTGATAGCTATTTAGACGGACGTGACGTTCACAAATCATAACGCAACACGTTTAAATAAATAAATAAAAATTATAAATATCAAGTATATAAGTAATAATACATACTTATATAATATATACATACTTTCTATAAACGCGTAAATATATGTTTAGGAATATCATTTATCTGCTTATGCTGTTTGGCGGTTGCCAAAATTTTTGGTTTAAAGAATCTTTTGAAAATGTTTCCTTGAATATTTAAAAGTAGGCAAGCGGTGATCGCGGGCGACACGTCCTGGCTGCCACAAGATAGATCCCGCATGATATATGATCGTTTTAAGTTATCGAGGTCGTTGTCCCATAATATAGCGGGCTTTAATTACAAGTGGCATGCGAAACACGTAGGGCTGCTGCACTTTTCCCGTAATATGCAAAGAATAACAAAAAATCGTTCGTTTATTTAAAATTTAAAAACATATTTCGTAGACTGTCGCATAAGGAAAAAAAAATTGAAATATATTTTGTTAATACATATTATCAATAAAAACGAGTATCATAAGCATTTCTTCCAGGTTCGTTGTGCTATTATCATAATATATCACGTAAGCAATTTCATATAGAATATACAAGACAAATTAAAAATTCAGATGTTTTAAAGCAATTCCTAATACACACTATTATGATATATTATCTTTTCTTTCAAATACATATTTGACTATGGTATAAGACCATTTTATGAATCGTGTACCGATTATAAACGATGAAAACAATAAAGCGTAATTTCATCTTAGAGAGTTGAGCCAGACTCGAAGCGCCTTGTTTTCTTAGTTATCTCGGTATACATATTGCGTATCGCGAATAAAAACTTTTCGAAAGCTGCCAACCTTGTATGCGATTCGAGAAATCGCGTCGTCAGTGGGTTGAGGCGGCTCGGCGTGGGGCCGGGAAGGCCAAGGTTGCGGCGCGAGGGGGCCGGGGGAGATATAACTGTAGCGGCGCGGCTCGCCTGTTTATTTTTTATTATTATTCATCGGGCGTCGCGGACACGTGCTTGGCAACGTGGAGCATTGCCGGCGCAGATACGCAATGCGGTTCTGCTTTCGTGCATTACTGCTAATTTACTATATTACATATAACATTAATTGGTTTATGTTCCTGAAATCGTTCCCGTTCATTTTTGCTTCTGCTTCCTAACGCGTCGTACTATCAATAAGATGCAAACAACTGAAAAAATATTCCTATTATACCACCTCGCGATTTTATTACCATTAAAGCGTTACTCAAATTTCTTCATCGATTTTAACATAGAAACGTAATACAGTTATTAAAGTTAGAATAGGCCAAATTCAATAGGAATCTAACAAAATGTAAACGTTACAATGAATATGAATCTCTATATATTACGTTATTACATGTAAAAACTTATAGATTGACGTAGGCGAAGTTTTCGGACCTAATTGTGTATAGTTAAAATCTTGCTTGATCTGATAATAAATCAATATAACAAATCTCCTAATTGGGGGGCACCAAGAAAAAATACCAATAGAAACTTCTTAGTGATACATACTTCGTGGAATTGACATTTGACCCGTGTGGTAATGAAATCATAACAATAATTTCTTGGATGTTTGGTACTAGATTTAATTTATTATTTACATGTATAGTCTACATAATGGTTTGTTTAACCATCCTCTTTACAGTCTTGTTAGCTATACAAATTTCGTGAGTGCGCCATTACCTTACAAAAATATTGAAACAAATTTACATAAAATACGTTCTATAAAGCTTCGATACATTACATATTCACTGGATTCTATAGAAATAACAGCTATTAACTGTCGTTTTGATTTTCGCTCATCATTAAAACCACTTGATGCATGTTCATGTAGCCTTTACGTAGAAGTATGTATCTATGCCAAGCTTGGCGAAATATTAAATTATTTATTTACGATAAAACTAATAATACATATTTATATCCGATACTAAGGACTTTCTTTTTGTGTATAGTACTTGCGAAACCAAAGACAATATCAGGAACCAAAAAATCTAGTTCGTAGAGACGACTCTCATTACGATATTATCATTGTATCTAGCAGATATTTATATGAAGGATATAATATGTATGTATTTAACGAAATATCAAGCTATTTGATCTCTATAAACCCAGCGAGGAAGGAATACCAATCGATCAGTCTGAAGTTGTATTAGGTACCTATGCTATTAAAGTGAGGGTGAAAATAAAAAGGAGAATTTTGAAGTGACTTACGTGACAGTGTGTGCTTCAGTTTAACGTAACTTCAGGTTTTAATTTTATTTTTTGAAGTGAAACTTCTTTAGGCGCATGAGGGTAACATTTTTTCGGATGATGACGTCACGAAGATATGTAGCGTTTTTGTCGAAGAAAAGGGAGAGAGCGATTGAGAGAGAGTGAGAAGGGCAAATTACCTTATAGAATTTTTTTTTAAATTAAAATTTCGTAAAGAGAATTTATGAAATATTAGTATTTTATATTTAATGCAAAATAATTAATTGAAATCTCAAATCACGAATTATAAATTAAAATGCCACGTGTTTTTATTATAAAAGAAATAAATTTAAAAAATTAAATTTATAATTTGTATTAATTTTTGACACTTTTTATATTTTAATGACAATTAAATTCATTAAAGTCCTTACATATCTTCCTTTTCCCATCCCTCTAAGTCTGGGATATCTAAAGTTTTAGATTTGTCTAAATATGAACAAGACTATAAAATTAGTTTGACAAAGAAATTTCACTTCTGAGATAGTGTACTTTGTACGCACGCACTTTTTATTTCTTACTAAAAGCCACTAATGGTATTTGATTGAATTGTAGTCACCACTGTTTGACTATATGAAATGTAACAAAATATTATGTATATGAAGATTTCGGTATATATAAAAATACGGCTGAGGAAAATATCACGGCATGGCATAGGAACGTGTAAAAATTATATGTATTGTAAAGTTAGCATATAAAAAACAAGAGAATCAGCGAAATATGAGTTCGATACACGGGTTATCTATATTTGATACGTTTGTCATTCGACACTGGGTGGTGACACAATTCTCGAGAACATCGAATACCTTTTGTTAACATTTTTCGAAGTTGCTTAACCTTTCAAACATGTTCTGTGTTATCTTCTTTCAAATGCGATCAAACCTGATCTAAGATCCTTTTTCTTTTTTATGGTACAGGAGGCAGACGGGCAGGAGGCTCAACTGATGTTAAGTGATACCGCCGCCCATGGACACTCGCACTGCCAGAAGGCTCGCAAGCGCGCTGCCGGCCCTTTAAAGAATTGGTACGTTCTTTTCTTGACGGGTCGGATTAAAAAGGGTCGTATCTAACAGAAAATAATTAAAAAGTATGGCAATACTAGTAAAAATATATATTTCTTCTTAATAAGCATTCTTCAAGGCTTGGCCTAATCAGCGGATTGATGATCTGGTCAACTCAGATTCATAACTTAAAAATGATAGGAAAGCTATTATACACACACACGCACACATTCCCTATCCTCTGGTAAGATAAATGTTGGTTATTCCTGTCCGGGTGCCAGTTAACAGTGCCAACGTATACGGGAGGCGGCTGCGGCAGTGCCAGCACTAAGTGTTTATATTTTATAACCTGGCCGCGGGCCAGAATCGCATCAAAAGATCACACATTACGTCACAACTCACCACTCTAGGGAAGCAACTTTTTATAGGCCAGTTGTAAATAAAGGTAGGTACTGTAATGAATTAAGAAGTTTGCGTTCTTTGATATAGATTACTCAAAGCAATTGTGATGTGGTAGATATATTAATATTACTTAAGTCTAAGTGCACCAATGCACTGTCTATGTGCGCATATAACATTAGCTCGAACGGTGAAAGAATACATCGTGAGGAAACCGGCATACTTAGACCCAAAAAATCGGCGGCGTGCGTCAAGCACAGGAGGCTGATCACCTACTTGCCTATTAGATTAACAAATAATCATGAAACAGATACAGAAATCTGAGGCAGAGATCTAAAAAGGTTGTAGCGCCACTGATTTATTTTTTTAGGTCTAAGTGACAAGAACCAGCTCCAAAGCGAATCTTATAAATATCGATTGTGAGAGTTATAGAACCCGGTGGCGTATTTGCATACTCGTCTCTCCGAAAAGCATAACAGCGATGTCGGAATCACAAATACCTAGAGAGCCTAGTAATGGACTCAGGTAACATATTTCCACCGAATAAAAGATGTCATGAATGACATTTGAGTGATGTTTTGTGAATGATTTTGTACCTGTATAGCGGAGCGGAGCCGTAGGAGGCCTGATGCAGTCGCAGCTGCGCGGGCGCATAGTTAGGTGCGTATGGGGCGGCGGGACGCGCCTGCGCCACGCCCACCTGCTTGCCGCCGTACGCCAGTGCACCGTGCCCGTGCTCGTTCTGCCCGGGCCTGTCCAAAAAAGCGACAATAAGTTATCAAGAAAATAAACTAACAACTTAATTTCATAGATTACTAACAAGACAAAACCTGAGACAAAATTACGTTTCCGAAGTTGTGTTTTATGAAGACTTCATCCGTTTAAACATGTAAACATTATTATGATAACATGGCTTAGATATATGATGAACCATGATAAGAATTCGTGACGTTTAAAAATAAATTTGTAAATACATGGTAGTTACTTTAACTAAACAACAATTGCGTCTATGGCGGTGTTCACTAAAGAAATTACTGACACAAAGCGCGCCATTAGTCGACAAACTGACAATCACAATGGCTCCATTTAGGACGCGCAACAACTGCAGCTTCAACAGTTGTAGTTCGGACACGACAGCGAAAATATTTTAGTTGGCAACATGATTTGGTTCTCTTTTACCTACAAAGCCTTACTTTCTTGCCGAAGTTTTACAGTGATAATAATCTTGACCATTGCTTACTATATCACTATAATAATATGGAATTATAAAATAAAAATGTATTAGGAAATTGTAAGAATAATTTAATAAGCTATTTCCCCTCTTCCCTTATCGATCGCAAACTCACTTGGCGACACAGTATAAGTATCATTTGACCCACATACTACATAGTGTCGTATGTTATGTATTCGTTAACATTAGACACACAGCTGTGCCAACAGATGCTCAGTAACGGACGGAACCGGTGACTTTGTATTATATATATATATACAATATCTGTATATTATATGGTATATAGTAACTCACTTTTAAAACGTTATTGTTATGTTAGTAGGGAGCGCGGGGCTTGTTGTAACAGGGGTAAATAGTAACAGACCTTTTTCAATAGGAATTTGATTTTTATTCACGTTTTTTTTTACCTAATCTTAAACTTATAACATGCCACGCCACTTTAACACAGCCAGGGTCCCACCAGACGGCGTAGTGAGTGGGTGTGTGCAAACGCTTTATTGTTGACAGGTAACCTATAATTTTACTTACGTAAATTTTCGGTTAGTTTTACTATTTTCGTAGCTTTGAAGTTTTATGTATTTTATTTTATGCTAAAATATAACTATTTATGATGATGTGTAACAGTTTTCGAGATTACTAAGTTGATTTAATAGTTATCGTGATAAATATTAAGACCTATACCTAGGGGCTAGTTGTAACAAAACCTCGGGGTTTGTTGTAACATGTTACAATTTGCCCCAGATTGCTGTAAGTTACTGACGACCGATGTTTATTTTTCCCGGCTAAATACTCAGAAATTTTCATTCGCGATGGACCTCAAGATTGCATTGGAGCTGGCAATTCTTCAGGGTGGATGACTGAAAAAGAATTCTTGATTTTTATAGATCATTTTATCAAATACGCGAAACCTACCAAGAAATAGCCAGTTCTGTTACTGCTCGATAATCATGGCTCACGTATGAATATTGCAGTTGTCGAAAAAGCCAAAGAAAATAATGTTATCATGTTATCGTTTCCCCCCATTGCTCCCACAATTTGCAACCTATGGTTGTAGGAGTCTACGGCCCTTTTAAAAACCACGTGAACAGAGCACAGACTGCATGGATGTATAATAATCCAGGAAAAACGATGGCAATTAATGACATCCGAAGTGTAGTGAAGGAGTCATTATCACTTGCCTTGAACCCTGCAAATATTATCAGTGGTTTTGAAGCTTCTGGTATTTGGTCTTTGAATTTTTAATATTTTCCAAGCTAGTGACTTTGCGCCCTCTTATGTTACTGATCGTCCAGATCCTACAGAACAATCAGAAAATGTTCTAAATGAAAGTGAAAATGTATCGTTGAATCTTGAACATCCACAACTATTTAGTAGATTCTGCTCCTGAAGTGGATATCAGCACAACAGAAATATACGCCACATTGAAACTGCGAACAAACCAACTCCAAGTTGCTCTGGTCAAAATCAATTTTCCCAATGAAAGATTAGACCATTACCAAAGGCGCCACCACGAAAAACAAATATAATTTGCAGACGCAAAAGGAAGTATCCTATTCTGACAGATACGCCTGAAAAAGAAGCTTTGAGAGTAGAATATGAAGAAAAAGCAAAAAAAGATGATAAAGAAAAGCGAAAGGGGAAAGGAAAAGTTAAAAAAACTGCGAAAAATAAAGATTGAAGGTGTCACCTTTTTGTTTTTGTTGTTGTTACAACTAGCCCCAACCACGGGGTAAGTTGTAACACTTCCCTTTTTTCAAAAAAATCATAATTGTGAGATAGTTACCTGTAGATTTGATAATATTTCAATTCGACTTCATAGATTAATAGTTAGAGTATCGATCAAAGTTTATTTGGTAGTAATTTAGCCAATACACTTCATGATATTCAATTATTTGTTAAAATTGTTACAACTAGCCCCTCGCTCCCCTAAATCAGGTACTTTATCTGTAACTGCCAATAGCAAAAGCAACATATTTGTATACATTTCGGGTGTAGTTCTTTTAATATCCGTGGCGCCGATGTCGAAACCCTAGAATCACGCGTTGCAAAAACTCGACATTCACTGGATATGTCACTGCAGTTAAGTAAGATCGATCGAGATCGTATACATTTTTTTAACCGTTCCCTAAAAAACAAATGAAAGTCGTCTTAATAAATCGAAGAAAAAAAACATGAATTCGTGTATATATTGTAGCTCAGCAAAGCGACATTTGGATTGAGTCACTCTATTGTTAGAAGTTTACAACCGGACGCTGACTCAGCACTCATTAGAGCTGTGATTGTGAAAAATTACCGCCGATTATGGCACTGAAACGCACGAAGTAAGGTCACCTTGTCTTAATTATCGTGCCATGGACAGGGATCAACCGTGGTTATGTACTAGTACCTAGATAATCATTTTTGTGAAGGTCATAAACTCCGTTGTACTCATAAAATTTGCATATAATGCGAATCATTTATCAGTGATTTTATCACAAACCAGAGTCAAGTATTGCGCAGGCAGAAGGCTGTATAGTGTAAGGCAAATTTTCGTTAAAAAAGATATTAAGGACGCGTAAATAACATCCATATCAGATTCAGAGTTGAGACAGCATTTATGACTTTCGTATGTTTTAATCCTACGTTTTTGGTATATGGATAAAATATATACTTAGACATAAGTTTCAACTTTGAGATCTTACAATAAGCAACATGCAAAATGTTACAAGTTTATGGATTCTATAAAAAATAAAATAATAACAGGCGATAGGTTTTTGACAACAGAGGCCACGCTTTGTGTTAAATTGTCTATTTTTTAACAATAAATTAATTGGGTAATGATAACGTCAACCATAAATTAATCTCCACCGGTTTTTGACTACCACCTCCTCTCTCATTATAGAGTACAGTTTTGAGGACGATGATTCTTTCACTTGATCGTTCCATCTGGTTTGTGAAAAATAATGTAAATCCCATAAAAAATTTAAAATATCAAATTCAGATTAATAAATCTTCACGTTAACCGATTTAATCACCAGAATTTGGATAACAAGTGTTTCAGTGTTGTCAGTACAGGCACGATCTCCTCATGTGCAATACATAATTATGTATAAAAACAAGTATCTCTTTGCCATTCACGTTTCGCAGAAGGGCATCTCAGGCGAAGCAATTTCCGGCGGACAACCAGACTGCAATATATTTAGACCGTAGGCATATGTAACTCGTATAGAACTTAACGTTTTAAAATGACTAATTCAAATCATAGTAATCTAATACAAAAATTCTCGTGTCACTATGTTCGTTCCCATACTCCTCCGAAACGGCTCGACTCATTCTTATGAAATTTTTTATGCATATCTTTCAAACCCCTAAATGTTAAGGGTGGTTCTACCCCTACATTTTTATTTATTAGACAACATTTTTTTTTTTTTTTTTTAAGCTGCATATGCTGTATGCATTCAAAAATACATACAACATCTTCACCCCTCTACGATCAACCACTATTTTTTATTTGTTAGTTAAAATCTTATGACTTGAACTCTGAGGTTTATTTAGAGAAAAATTCACAGAAAAAACTAAAAAGTTTTCATTCCAGAAAACCGAATAGTCTCTGGGGTAGCATAGCAAAATGTTCCATGTTGGTATGTACTAAAAAGGTAGGCTAAGGAAAACATAAAGGAGACGTTTCTCTCGTTAAGTTCGCGGGCGCAGCTAGTATTATATAAAACAGAAGAGAAAAACTAGTCGGAGACATATTTATATAAGGTAGGTATTTGGACTTACAATTATCTTTTGTGTTACGAGAGTTATATAAATAGAAACGTAAGAATTTTCCTAAGCTCTTAAGGTAAGATTAAGGACTTAGGGTTATATTTAGTAACGAGACATAGACAGCGTTGTGTGACTCCAGTACTATTCGACTGGAGTCATGAATAGCACGCATTTAGAAACTTCGAAACTTAGAAAGTCAAGGAGCAAGAACATGCTATCACAGCAAAAGCAAAGTCACGCTATAACTTTTAGACATCAAGTATTACATTTTTGCTAACATAGATTGTCTATTAGAAGATGAACATAATATTAATTCATTTTGAATTATTATTATTCTAAACCAAACTTTTATCGGTTCAACCTAACTTTGGTTTATATACATCTAAAAATAGTAGTAGCGTCAGAGTAAGAACACGCTGGACTAAATTGTAAACATAGTGTGAACAACCGGACGAGACGATCGGATAAAATTAGATTTAGTTATAAGAACATCGCAGTTTAAAACTTACACACAAATCCCAGATTAGGAATTTTCATAAAATATTAAATTTGAATACATATCATTGTTTATCTTAATATATATAAATTACGTGTCACGTTGTTTGTCCGCTATGGACTCCTAAACTACCAAACCGATATCAATCAAATTTGCACACCGTGTGCAGTTTGATCTAACTTAAAAGATAGGATAGTTTACATCTAAATTTATACCCGCAATATTATTTTATTGCAAATTATTTGTTAATTATTTAATAGTCACAATTCTAACAGATGTCGCTGTGTTGAAAGTATCAACGTTTCACATAAGCTACAATTTAATGACATTACCACCAAAAAAGCATGGTGGTCCCCATGACTGGTGTTCTCCTACCGTTTCCCTTGAATAGTTTACTACTATGTAATATAACAAAAACCTTAGCCACAGCAACGCTTGGCCGGTCTGCTAGTTTAATATAAAACTTACTTCTCTAGTTATATGAATTTAATTCAAATGTTAGTATCCCCTGTTGGTAGCGATGTATTTTACGTCGCCATATTTTTCGTTAGCCCATAATTTCATCCAGTGACCTACTTTCTTGTTAAATATCGAAGCTTTTTTGTGACTTGAAGAAAGAAAATTACATAAAGCAGGACAACCTGTCATAACTTTGACTTGACGTGACGTCCAATCATGAGGCAGAGGGCATCTTCAAAATTATAACGAGAGTTAGTTATAGTTCCATCACTTATGTGCTTTAAGATATCTGTAATC